CCTGGTGGGTCGAGATGGCTAACACCGCAGGCTTGCTTGCAAGCTTATCTGTGCGGCTGTGACCCAGGCTCCCTCACCCGGCCCCAGATCCACGGTAGCTGGCGGGGATGCGCTGGGGAGCTGAAGGGCTGACCAACCCTGGGGGCCTCCAGAAACAAAACCCACGCCATGTCAGCCGGGCCCGACTCACACCACAGCGACAGCCCACGCAGGGCTCAGAGGACTAGCAACGTAGGGGACGTGGGTGGAATTCCTGGCCCCGCCACAGACTTTCTGGATGACCTGGGTCAAGTCACTTAGGGCCTGTCCACAGAGGGAGAAAAACCCCGTGGCGTGGACGTGGGCTCACTAGGCTCAGACCACAGGGCTCTGTCGACATTCGGGCTTGGGCTAGCTGCTGGGACCTTCCAGCCTCAGTTTCCCTCTGTAGAATGGAAACAAGACTATTTCCTTTCCCCCCACCCGGGGCCTGTCTACATAAGACTGCCAATTCTCTGGGCCAAGGGACTCGTTCGCTGTGTATCCTGGGACAACATGAGGCTCTGACGGACACGTCGGACCTGCGCCGGTTCTGCACATTCGGGCTTGGGCTAGCTGCTGGGACCTTCCAGCCTCAGTTTCCCTCTGTAGAATGGAAACAAGACTATTTCCTTTCCCCCCACCCGGGGCCTGTCTACATAAGACTGCCAATTCTCTGGGCCAAGGGACTCGTTCGCTGTGTATCCTGGGACAACATGAGGCTCTGACGGACACGTCGGACCTGCGCCGGTTCTGCGGCGGGAACAAGTGGCGAGGAAGCAGGGCCGAAGCAAGCTGCCGCACGCCACCCTCATATGCACCAAGCTGTTTTTAGTCTGTACCAAGCCACAATTACAACAGGCAAAATGAACACGTTACAATATCTCGCTTGATGGCTCGGACTTTGTTAGCATCTCCACGGCCGCATTGATTTCCCCGTCTGTCTCGATCAGAGCCTGTAAGTTCGCCTGCCGGTCCTGGAAGCCCATGGTCCGGAGCTGCTCCATTTGTGTCTCGTATCGGACTTCTGGTGCCGGCTGGTCCATGCCCCCTGGGCCGTCGGGGTCTTCCTTGTCTGACTCGAGGCTGACGTCCTCCTCGGACTCGCTGCTGGGCAGAGACCCTTCCATGCTCTCCAGCTCCAGTTCCACGTCCCGGTCGCCCAGGCCGAGGATAAAATCCGGTACCTCGGTGGAGAGCGTCTGCAGGCCCAGCTGGATCTGCAGCAGAGCCTGCATGGCTCGCGGGCTGCTCAGCAGGGGCGCGATGTCAGCGTTCTCCAGCTCCGGAGGGAGCTGCGGCGCCTGTTCGTCGCGAGGCCGAGCGCGGCCCCCCCTGGAGACGCAGGAATTATTCAGCAGCAGCTGGGCCGGGCCGGTGGGATTGGACAACACGCTCTCCATGTGCTGCATGAACTCTGGGTTCCCCGTCAGATGCTGCACCAGACTCTGAACGCCTCCCGGGTTAGCAACCCCAGGGCCTGCCCCGGGCCCAAAATTCAGGACGATAAAGTTCTGCCCTGCGCTGTCGTGAGTCGGGCTGTTACTCCCCGTGTCACCGGCCCTGTGCGTCCGCGTGGCCCAGGGGTTGGGCAACGGGTCTCTGTTTTCCGTCCGGGCTGGCGGGCCGGCCCTACTCAAAGGTGGGTTATTCTCCAAGGAAGCGAACGTGTTGCTGTCAAACTGGGCTTGCACGGCGTTCATCATGGGCTCCTCGAATTCGCTGTACAGCTGCTGCAGGGCGCTGTACCCCCCCGGGATGCTCTCCAGGTTGCTCAAGGCGCGGTCGTGATTCCGGATCATTTCTTGCAGCGTCGCCGGGTTGCTGGTGACCTCGATCATTTCCCGGATGAAGTCGGGGCTGTGGAGGATGTGATGGATCTCGGGGCTCTGCTGGGCCAGCTGCTGCAGCTGCGGGTTGGACAGAAGGACCTCCCGCACCAGGTCCGTGTTGCTGAGGAGGTTCTGCACCAAGGGGTTCTGCGTCACCTCGTTCATCAGGTCCTGGATGGAGACCTCGGCCTCCTGGGCCTCGCTCGTGAAATCCGACATGTCCGTGGGGTCCAGGCCCAGCACGCTCATGCCCGTCACCCCGATGAGGAAGCCCAGGAGGAAGGGGTTGTTGTTGATGGTGTTAAGGTCCAGGTTGGAGCTGATGATCTCAAACAAAAGGTTTTCCATGATCTGAGCCACCAGCTCCTGGCTGGAGGCCACCAGCTCTTCTAAGCGCCCCTGCAGCTCGGACACGCTGCAGGAGCCCAGGCGCGGCGTGGTCCTGGGGCCGCTTTGGGGAGCGGATAACAAGGTGGATGCTGAAACCGCTGCGGACTCCGTGCTGGCTCAGCGTCTCCTGATCCTTGAGGATCTTCCCAGCAAATATCAGCACCAGCAGGTCAGAGGGCGTTTTGAAGCGCTTGGCGATGTCTTCCTTGAAGGCGCGGACGGTGCTGCTCTCGGCCACCTCAAACTGCTCCTTCTGCTTGAGGGTCTTCACCGTCACCTTGAGGACGCCGCTGGAGTCGACGGTGACGGCGGCTGGCTTGGCCCCGGGGGCCCGGCGGCTTTCGGACATGGCGACCGGGGACGCGGGAGCTCCACGTTGGTCCTGCTGCGGGGAGCAGAGGGGCCTGGAGGAGGAGATGGGATGTGACGGAGGACAATTCCTTCGGGCTGCCGGCCGCTGTTGGCGTGGGCTTCTGGGGGGACGTGCGGGGAAGGGGGAATTGGCCTTCGCTCCCCGAGGTGCTACCAGAAGCCAACCCCAGAGCGCGCATACCAGCTTAGATGTTGGCCTGCTCCTCCGCTCGCTCAGTCACCGCCTGGCAGGTGCCCTCATGGTCTTTCTCCCGCTGGTACTGCCGGGCCACGCAGAATTTCCACCCGCCTGCCCCTGGGGACTGTGACATCACCGATGACAGTGACATCACCGATGACATCACAGAAAGCAGACACGGCCTGGGTGTCTGGCACCTCCCTTGAATATGGGCCCAGCACCCTCGTTTTCCGGTCCCCCCTTCACTCCCGCAGCCTGCCCAGCACCCTGACGCAGCACCCCTGCACCCACGGTGGCTGGAGACTCCCACGGGCTGGTGCCCAGTGGGACCCATGTCCCAGGCCTGGACCACGCTTGCCTCCCTGTGTTCTCCTCCTCCCCTGCTCCTGGGCAGACACAGTCCTTGGGCCCCTGCCTTCCCGAGCCGCTCCCCTTGGGGAAAGCATCTCCCCCTGCACAGCATCCTGGCCCGCTGCCGCCAGTCACAGAATCGTAGCATCCCAGGGCTGGCAGAGACCTCGGGAGTTGTCGAGTCCAAAGCAGGACCAGCCCCAGCCAGGGCTTTGTCCAGCCGGGACTTAAGCACCTCTAGGGATGGAGATTCCACCCCTCCCTAGGGAACCCAGCCCTGCGCTTCCCCACCCGCCTAGGGAAATCCTTTGTCCTAATGTCCAACCTAGACCTGCCCCACTGCAACTTGAGACCATCGCTCCTCGTTCTGCCACCTGCCATTCAACACCAGTGGGGCTGGCATTGCTCTTGTCTTCATTGCAGGAAACCGACCCCCACCTCCCATCCCTGCCCCCGCATTGTCTCCCTTTTTTTTTGCTTAATACAGTAGACTTCCGATAATCAATACAGTAGACTTCCGATAATCAATACAGTAGACTTCCGATAATCAATACAGTAGACTTCCGATAATCAATACAGTAGACTTCCGATAATCAATACAGTAGACTTCCGATAATCAATACAGTAGACTTCCGATAATCAATACAGTAGACTTCCGATAATCAATACAGTAGACTTCCAATAATCCAGAACCTATGGGATTTAGGTGGTGCCGGATTATCAGCTATGCCAGAGTATCAGGAGGAACTATAAACAAGTTATGTATATACTGTATATCAAGTGTTCTTAACCCTTTTTATTGTACATACCGTATACAGTATACTGGAATGTTTTAGTTTTTTTAAGCCTTTTTTACCCTTTTCGCTCAGTCCAGCTGCTGCTGCTGCTGCTGCCTTGTAACTCATTTTTTGCCAAAGCTTTTTTTTTTTTTAAAAATAGAGATTGCCTATCTCCTAGAACTGGAAGGGACCTTGAAAGGTCATCAAGTCCAGTCCCCTGCCTTCACAGCAAGACCAAGTACCAGCCCTGACAAATTTTTGCCCCAAATTCCTAAATGCCTCTGCAGGGATTGAACTCGCAACCCTGGGTTTAGCAGGCCAATGCTCAAACCACTGAGCGATCCCTCCCCCTTCACTCACTCGGCTCTTGCCATTTTGATGCCGGACTATTGGAATTCTCAGGGTTCTTTTTTTGTCTCACCAAGCAGATGGTCTCTCCCCATGGGGTCTCCGCACCAGTGTCTCATGCCAGTCTGTCTTCCAGGCACCTCTGCTCTCTCTTCCCATCCCGCTGCACCCCAGAGGTGGGTCTGCTCTTCCAGTGCTGCGTTGTAGGACCCCCAAACACCTTCCCTTGGTGCTCTGGCTCTGGCCCCTTATTTGCTTAATAATTCTCCGGGTCCTTTTTGTTTTTGCTCAACAACGTTGGTCTCCCCCTTCCCCCCCTACAGAATTTTTCCCCAGTGTTTTGGGGGTTTTTTGAGGGTGGGGTCAGTGTTTTTGGTTAAACCATCTGGCAACCTTACTCCTGGACCCCGGCAGCTTTCCCTCCAGGTACTGCCCCACAGCAGTGCCTCCATATCCTGGGGTTCTCCCATCAGGCAGCCCCCCAAGTCTCTGACTGCCTTGCCTTGGCGACTTGCTGCCAGTTGCCATCTTGTCCCTGCTGCCTTCTCCTGGCCTGGCTGCCACCTCGGTACCCTCGGGCCTCGCCTCAGGCCCAGCAGCCTGGGAGTTTGCCTGCCAGTGCTCCCCAGCTCTGCCTGCCTTTCCCCAAATCCGCTCTGTCCCAGGCAGCCTCCAGCTTCCCTGGCAGCCTGGTTCCTCCTTCTCCCCAACTGGGGTGTGAGCGTGTGTCTCTCCCCTCCCCTCCTGGGCTATGTCTACACTCCTGGCGTCTTGCATGAGAAATATGCAAATGAGGCTGAGCATGGAATATCACCGAGCCTCATTTGCATACCTAATGAGCCGAAGAGGCTCTTGCGCCAGAAGGAGTGTCTACACGGCCCCTTCTTGCGCAGGAAAACCCTCTTGCGCAATGCCGTTCTTCTTGAAAATAATCAGCGTGGCG